TTCCTCCTTCCTCCTTCCTCCTTCCTCCTCCTCCTCCTCCTCCTCCTCCTCCTCCTCCTCCTCCCCTCCTCCTCTCCTCCTCCTCCTCCTCCTCTCCTCCTCCTCCTCCTCCTCCTCCTCCTCCCCTCCCTGCCTCCCTCCCTCCCTCCCTTCCCCCTCCCTCCCTCCCTTCCTCACTTCCTCCTCCTCCTCCTCCTCCTCCTCCTCCTCCTCCTCCTCCTCCTCATCATCATCATCATCATCATCATCAGCATCATCATCATCATCATCATCATCATCATCATCAGCATCATCATCATCATCATCATCATCATCATCATCATCATCATCATCATCATCATCATCATCATCATCATCATCATCATCATCATCATCATCATCATCATCATCATCATCATCATCATCATCATCATCATCATCATCATCATCATCATCATCATCATCATCATCATCATCATCATCTCCTCCTCCTCCTCCTCCTCCTCCTCCTCCTCCTCCTCCTCCTCCTCCTCCTCACTTTGACCTCCAAGGGCTCGCAGCTGGAAAGAGGGGGGGCCGCAGGTGACGGCACATGTGTGGACTGGATGCAAAGGCTCTCGGGCACGCCAAGATATGCGGCATGGGGCGGGTAGCCCTGGAGAAGGTGGAGGAGAAGGGGATGGGGATGGGTGGGCATGGGGGGGCAGAAGGGGGTGGATGATTCGGGGAAGCGGGAAGGGGAGATGCTTAGGTCGGGCATGTCCTTCTACAGGCAAATCTTGCACGCCAAATAAAACATGGCCAGAAACATATTCAAGATCAATACAAGTTAGGAGAAAAATCGTCCCCGGACTATTATAGGGACATGCCCGACTCAAGGATATACAGTGGGAGGGGAGGGAGGCAGGGGACCCCGGCAGCGTGAGCGACCGAGGGCGAGAGAGAGGCGGTCTTGCGCGCGAGAGGGCGCGGCGATCACCCGTGCGGAGAGGGCGCACCACGGGCCCCTCGCAGCCAGCGCGGGCGCGATGCAGAGAGGTTGCGCCTCCGCGCAGCCCGGCGCGGGCGGCCGGACCCCGCGCACGTCCGCATCGCTGGCCGGGGCGTTCAGGTGAGCGACGATCAAAACAAAGTAGACACGGACGATAGAACTAGACACGGACGAGAAGAAATCTCTTGCTTTCAAAAAGACTGTGGCTCATTTGGGCTTCCCGAGGTGCCCCGGGCTTCTGCGAGCACCCTGTGGCCCATTGTGGGACAAGATGCTGGCGTGGGGCACCTGCTGGCAGGCCGATTTCTTATTTGAGCGAAGATCACAAACGGGTCTCACGCGAAATGGCACAGCGACCTTAAGTACGCGGCGGCTTACGCGGGCCGCGAGCGCGGCACTCTGCAGTGGAGACGAGGGCGCTTTTACGCGCGACCTTACGCGGGCAGCTTGCGCGCCAGTATCGGCGAAGACGGCCCGGTTTTTCTGAGTCGCTCGGGTGGCAATCAAGAATCGGGCGATCAGAGGCCTCCCAGATGGGGTCCGAGCAGATGGGGTCGCGAGCCTTCCCAAGAGGGCCCCGAGGGGGTAACATCATTGAGTTTCCTTAGATTGTTCAATGTTGTGTGGGCTCTCCACTTTTCGAGCTTCCGACTCTTCCAGACGTCCCAGTCCCAAGCGGCCCCCAAGAACAGAGGCCCCCAAGCGGACCCCAAGAAGGCACAGGAAGGCCCCATTATGGCCCGAGAGGCGCCCAAGACGGCCCCAAGAGCGGATAATCCGAGCCTTCCGCCCCAAGAGGCACCCAGGAAGGCCCCTGAAGCGCCCCAAGAGGGCCCAAGCCAGCCCAGAGAGGCCCCAAAGACGGACTCCGACGGCGTCAGACCAGACAGGGACGCTTTAAGACAGCCAAATAAGCCCCCAAGACACCTCCAAAGACCCCCAAGAGACCCAAAGAGGCCTCCAAGAGGCACCCAGGAAGCTCCCAGGAGGCCCCAAGAGTGGCCCAGGAGGCTCCCCAGCGGTTTCCTCCTCCTCCTCCTCCTCCCCTCCTCCTCCTCCTCGTCCTCCTCCTCCTCCTTTTCCTCCTTTTCCTCCTCCTCCTCCTCCTCCTCCTCCTCCTCCTCCTCCTCCTCCTCCTCCTCCTCGTTTCCCTCCTCCTCATTCTCCGCCTCCCCCCCCGTTCCCCGAAGCGTTTCCACCATGGCTGGGGGAACGCATGGTCTAATAACTTGGCCGAGCGTTGCCCGAACGTTTGGCCGCATAGGTGATGGCGGCGGTGATTCGCCGTAAGTGTCGTGCTTCCGCCGCCCCTGTTGATTTATCACAGGGGGGCACGGCGTGCTGAATCCTACCGTTTTTGGCGTTGGTTCTTTTCCAATAGCCCCCTGGGGCGTCGGCACATGCCGCCAGCCACCCAGAAAGCCGCACAATCCGCCGAAAAGATTGCCCAATCGCTTCCGCGACAGCCGAGATGGCCCAAGATGGCCTCCAAGTTCGCCCAAGATGGCCCAAGATGGCCTCTAAGAAAGCCCAAGGGGGTCCAAGCCCCCAAGAGGGCCTCCAGGAAGGCCCGAAGAGGCCAAAGTCATTGATTATCATTTGGTCGTTGAAGGGTTTTAGCATGTGTTTCTTTTCGGCCCACGAGCCCCCAAAGATCGCCCAAAGATCGCCCAAGAGGCATCCAAAGAAGGCCCCAGAACAGCCCAAGAGGCCCTCAAGACGGCCCCAAGAGGGCCCCAAGACAGCCCAAGACGGCCACAAGAGGCCCCCAAGACGGCCCAAGAGGCCTCCAAGACGCCCAAGATGGCCTCCAAGACGGCCCTGGAGCATTCCAAGAGGGCCCCAAGTTGGCTCTGAGGCCCCCAAGACGGCATCCGACGGCGTCAGACGGGCCAGGAACGCCCCGAGACGGGCAAAGAGGCCCCCGAGAAGCCCCCTCCGAGAGGTTTTCAAGAGGCCCAACGAGGCCCCCATGAGGCCTCCAAGAGGCTCCCAGGAAGCTCCCAGCCCCATGAGTGTCCCCAGAGGCTCCCAAGATGCCCCCTCCTCCTCCTCCTCCTCCCCCTCTTCCTCCTCCTCCTCTCCTCCTCCTCCTCCTCCTCCTCCTCCTCCTCCTCCTCCTCCTCCTCCTCCTCCCCTCCTCCTCCTCCTCCTCCTCCTCCTCCTCCTCCTCCTCCTCCTCCTCCTCTCCTCCTCCTCCTCCTCCTCCTCCTCCTCCTCCTCCTCCTCCTCCTGAGCTTCCCCCGCCACCCTGCCCCAAGTGTTCCCCGAAGGGTTTACACAACGGCTGCAGGGAACATATGGCCCGATAGCTCGGCGGAGCGCTTGCCGCAGCGCTCGGCCACACGGGCGACTCCACGAGGCAGGGACCGGCGGCGAGTCGCCGCAGGCGCCTTCGACGGCGGCCCACGAGCGAGCGAGGCAACGACCGCAACGAAATGAGCGACGGGCCAGGGAGGGGAGGGGAGGGAAGGCGAATGGAGGGGAGGAGGATGGCAGAAGGACGGAAGGACATGGAGGGTTCGGAGCCGTGGCCCTACAAGGGCGGCGGGCGAGAGGCCGTGAAGGATGCGGCTGCTGGACGCAGGGCCACAAAGGCTCCGCAGCTCGCGGGGCTTTTGAGCGAATTACAACGGGTGGCACAACCACATCGCGAATCGAAAGGTCGTTGGACGAACCGGGATCACCGCACAAGCCGACCTGCAATAGGCAAACTCATACAATGAACCGTGGCCTGAGCAACAAATCGACACTGCAGTTGCGACAGGAGGAGGGAGGAGGGAGGAGGACAAAGGAAGAGGAGAGGGAGGGGAAGGGAGAAAGGACAATCGCGTTGGATGGGCATCACCGATGGTTCAGCCAGCCATTTATACGAGCACACAACGGACGCAGCGGAGGAGGAGGAGGAGGAGGACGGACAGGAGGAGGGCGACGGAGGGGAGGGAGCAGGACTGCACTGACACGAACACGCCCCACGCGCGTACCATCGAATGCGCCCTGAAAGCGCGGGCTCTCCTTCAAGCGAGGAAGAAGGGAGGAGGAAGAGGGCCGAGGCGAGAAGTCGCACGCTGCGCAGGTCGGCCGGGCGGAACACTGGCCATCTCCGAGCCACTCCGTCCTGGAGAGACCCCTCCCGGGAGAAGGCCGCGCACCGACCGGCTGCCCCGCCCCGAGCCTCCGCCTGGAGCCCGGAGCCCCGCCGGGCGCACAGGGCCGCCCGAGCGCCCACCGCGGGGGGCTCTCCCAAGGAGCGGCGCTCCCCCAGCGAGTGGGCGCACCGGGGCCGGCGCCCCCCCGCGGGGGGAGAGGGCCTCCCGGCTCACGGCGAGGTCGGGCACGCCCCCCCGACGGCGGATTTTGGACGAGTGTCTTGAACATAGGCGACAAAGATGAGACTGAGTCAGCAAAAAGTACTCGTAAAGATAGCCACAGGCTCGCTATTTTTAAAACTTTTTTTGAACATTCCTCCTGTAGAGGGACAGGCCCGACTTGATCTTGGCACCTTCGCGATCACCCGGGAAGCCCAGGCCGTGGGTGTTTCAACGCCGGGGCCCTCCGAGGTCCCGGCCCCCTCCGCGGGCCCCCACGGGACGAGGAGGGCGAGGCGCTGGAGCTCTGGGGGAGAGGGCTGGCGAAAGGGGTACGGACAACGTTGGCACGATGCCCAACAGCAAAGGCTGTGCAAAACCACCAGCGGTCGAAATTGGGCAGGCGACCTGTCTTCGAGGCCTGGAAATTGACACCGACACCAAAACATGGCATGGGGGTTGCGTTCACCAGGAGAGAACGATCCTAGAATTTGGTGTTGGTGGTAACACCTCGGCCACCTAAAAGCCCGAGTATTACCACCGTCGCAAAGATCGGGATCATCTTGCCTCGGTGGGGGCACACAGGCGCGATGTTGGTGCTGGTGTCAACCTCTAGGCCTCCCGGCGACGCCGCCGTTCAGAATGGAAAGGTGTCCCTTCCGATCGCGCCCAGAGGCCCAGCTTGCTCGCACTCGATCCCTGCCCCGTGGCACGTGGGGCGCCTTCGCCAGCAGCAGGGGCCTGTCCCGCGGGTCCCGGCACTCCGCGGCCGCGACCCCCAGGCGGCGGAGGGCGCGCTGGTACTCCACCTGTGGGGCACAGCGGGGCAGCGGGCTGACAGGTGCCCTCTGGTGCTCCGCTGGCCACCTCGTCGGCGGACGTCGGCCATCCATATCTCTACGTCACCCAACTTCGCGGCATCGCGCCACGCGATGCGCGACGCGCGGTCATCTTCGCGCCCTCGCGAGGCCGCCCTGGAGAAGGGCTGCTCTCCAGCCGAGGCCGCCACGCGCGAAGCGCGACTATCTTCGCGCAACTAGGGGCGACATGGGCTATCCACCTCAACGATCCTGGCCCGCCAGATCCTGGGCCCATGATAGGCCTGACCAGGTTCGGCGACGGTGGATAGCTGACGTCCCCCCATCGTGTGCCTGCCGTTCTTCTCCCCAAAACCCCATCCCACACCCCACCCATGAAGGCGACGCCCACGGTTCCAGTGAAGCTGGCACCGCGGAAGCTACGGACACATTTAGCACTTCGAGCAGGTGAGCATGTATTGTGCGATGTCGCTTCCGCTGCTGTGCTTACATAGACGTCTGACTGTGGATGTTGCACGCGACACGCTGTTGCCGACTGCATCACAGTTGATGTTGTTTAACATCTGTCATGCGCGTGTATGCATGATGTAGTGTTGTTATGCTGCCCTTCCGCATCAGAAAGAAGATCATTCGAAGGCAACGGGTAGAAACACGAAGTAGAAAGGCGATCCTCGCCGACTGGGCGTCGACCCGCCCAGCAGGCGGCTGAGGAAGTACATCGCCGATGAGTGAAGTAGGAAAGCGCTCGGACCTCTACTGCGGCCTGGGAACCCGAAAGACGTACTTTCAGCGAACAGCAGATCTGCAATAAAAAGGTAAGGCCGTGAGCATCAATGCGCGGTCGCGAGAGGCGCATCTCCAGTGCAGCACAATGAACCCACTCAGATGGGAGCGCAGCCGTCCGGGCGTGACAGACATGCCCCGACAGAACTCCGACGTCAAACCCTGCACGCAAAAGGACGTTGGCATCACAGCTCGTCGGCAGGTGTGGTCCACTCCTCTTCCGAAGACTCCCTGAGGGGCAACGATAGGGGGGATGGGCATAGGGGGGGATGCATCGACCTAGAATCGGCGATACATCGTCGATAGATCGGAGATAGGCCTCCGATAGTGAATCCGGACCTTCCTGGGCAGGTTGGGGATATCGGGCCCCTATCGGCGATCAATGGGCGATTGGGGCTCGATGCATCCCCCCCTATACCCATCCCCCCCTATCGTTGCCCCGGGCTCCCTCTCGCTCCTGTTCGTGCCCCGGTGCTGCTCTGACTTATGGCGGACGTGGTCCCGCGCTCGGCTCACACGCTGGGCCGAATCGACGACCTGCTCGCCACGCGCTGCCACGCGTGCGGAGGCCGCGCCGCGAGAGGCAACGACGACGACGACGACGACGACGACGAGCCACGGCGGCGACGACCACGACGACGACGACGGGGCGCGCCGCGGCAGGGGGCCGGCAAGCGAGAGGGGGCGTGCGCAGCACCACGGCCCGAGGCGCGCGCGCTGACGGGTGGGGGCCGGCGGGCGTGCCAACGAGAAGCTACGGGGGGCCACGAGATCAGGGGGACGTTTATGTCGGGCCTGTCCCCCTACAGAGGGATTTTCGACGAAGAATTTAAAATACCCCAAAAATAATTGTTTCTAAAAGTCCAAAAATATTCCAGGGACTATTTCTTGAGTATCTTTTCGCCTTTTTGGGGTATGTTTTATTTTCCGTCGAAAATCACCCTGTAGGGGGACACGCCCGACATAAGGGGACGTCATGGCCCAGGCCATGGCATCCATGCCCCGGACAGTAGGAGCTCGACCACAAGAAGCCTTCTACGAGAAGCCCAACCCTGCGACCCCAGGGCGTGTTTTCCTCTGCAAGCCGTTGGGCAGGACCGAGTGCAGCAACAGTTAGCCGCGCGCCTCACCAGTGGCGGGTGGCGGGCCCGTGGGGGGGAGCGCGAAAGGCAGGCACAGCCCCCTCACGCCTTCCATAGCAAGAACATCGAGACCCAAGAAACCCAGGGCACCCTGGAGGCGAGCAGGGTGCTTCTTGGCATGGGTCTCCACTGTAGTCATCAAACCCCTTCTTCCAGGACATCCGAAACCTTGACTGTTGTTCGGCACTGGGTCCCTGGAAATCCCGACCATTTCCCTATGGCTGGTTTTTCATCCCGAGTCTTCTTCTGAAGGTCCCAGGGCCCGGCGAGGGACACCAAAGGCCAGGATATACGAGAAACCTCCGTGACGGTGTTTTCACCACGACGGAGATCTGGCTGTGTCGGACTCTCGGCCTCCCAGATGGGGTCGGAGTAGATAAAGTCGGAGGATGGAGCCGCATCGCCGATGCGTCAACGATGCATCGACGATGCATCCGCGACGTCGGCGACACGTCGACGACGCCAGCGTGGAGAAAGTCGAGCTCCACTTCGAATTACATCCCTGATCCATCGGCGATGCGGCGCGATCCACCGACCCCATCTGACTACCTACCAGACCACCCCAACCCAACCCGACGACGAGAATTTCGGTGGGGGGGACGGGATTCATATGTGTTTTTGTCAATGTTCCCAGACCCCCCCACTGGGAATGGAGAGCAAATTGAGACCTTCGGGTTGGGTTGGGGTGGTTTGACAGAGCACATGCTTTTTACTCGCGACCAGAACTGCCGTAATGGGGGAGGAGGGGGGGAGACGGGAGCGGGCAGAACGTAGCCCCCCCCCCAAGACTATGGTGCCGGACGCACTGCGGCAGTGCTGGGGGCGCACTGAGGGGGGGAGCGTTACGTGATGGGGGTGGGGGTAGGGGGCACAACGCGCGTTATGACCCGGAGGGTAAAACACCAGACAGCTCGCCCCTTGGCCCCCCGCCAGCTCCACGCCAAGGGGCGAGCATATATACGGCCGCATCACCGCGCTGCGCGCTGCATGCGTAGCCTTCGGCTGGGCCAGGCAAGGCAAGACCCAACACTGCATCGCGTGGCACGTGGATGCCCGCACCGACGACGCCACTCAGGCCCTACCTCCGAAGCCCCCTCTCGCCACCTCCTCTTCGTCCTCGTCCTCCGCACTCCCTCTCACCCATCCCCCCCATCGTCCAACTCCTCCGGCTCCTCCTTCCGCCGCCTCCTCCCTATCCTACTCCCTCCTCGTCTTCCGCCTCTTCCGCCCTCCTCGTCGTCCACCTCCTCCTCCTCCTCGTCCGACACCCTCCCCCTCTTCCTCCTCTTCCCCAGACCAACGAATCCGCCGATCACTCCTGACCGCCCGTGAGTGGCACATGGTGCTACTAGGTTACGTCTGGGAAATATCCTCACCGCCCATGGCCTTAAAACTGCCAGCGACATATCCTCACACCCCTCGCTCAAAACTACCACCGAAATATTATTACACCCCTCGCTTGAAACTGCCAGCGGAATATCCTCACCGCCCCTGGATTAAACTGCCAGCTAGCTATCCTCACCCCCTGGAATTAAAAACTGCCAGCAAAATGTCCTCAAACCCCTGGCCTAAAACTGCCAGCGAAATCCCACCAGCCCTCTGGGCGTAGGTGGTTTAGGGCGGCCCCTCCCCTGGAATTCGACGGGGGGGCCGCGAGGTGTCGGAGCGTCCAAAACGGCCTCGGCGAGGAAGCCGAAATCATTAGTTTTACTTCGGTTTTGGCCCCATCTGGGCCTCTTGGGGAGGCGAGGCTAATTAAGGGGCACCCCCTTTTTTGATCGATGTCTTCCAAAATGGCCCCAAGAGGCGCCCAGGAGGCCCCAAGAGGCCCCAAGATGCCCCAAGATGGCTCCAAGATGGCCCCAAGAGGCCCCAGGAGGCCCCCAAGAGGACCCCAAGCGGCCCCAAGAGGTCCCCCAGAGGCACTCAAGACGCCCGAGAGCCCCCGAGGACCGCCGAGAGACCCCCAAGACGTCCCAAGAGGCCTCCAAGAAGCGCCCAAGAGATATCCCAAGAGGCGCCGAGAGGCATCCAAGTTTTTGCTTGCCCTCCTCCTCCTGCTCATATTTCCTCCTCCTATTCCTTCTCTTCCTCCTCCTCATGATCCTAGTAATAGTCCTTCTCCCCACTCCCCCGTCCATCTATTCAGCCTCATCCTTCTCCTCTTCCCTCCTTCGCACGTTTCGGCCGTACACATCTTTGATCCCGCACTTCCCTGATCACATCAACTCGCCTGGACATCGTTTCTGGATGGGCTGATGGGGATATTGTTTTGATTCGCGGCCCGCAAGGAAAAGTCCAGAGGGCGGTAAGAACGAGGCTGGGACACAGCGCACGGGAAGCAGATAATTAACGGCGCAGCACTGAGCCGGCCGAGAAGCAGCTGAGCGTGTGCCAGCAGCAAAAGAAACGCTGAGCATCTGCCAGCGATAAGGCCACTAACCGGCCGCTGAACGTGTGCCAGCGAGAGGGAGGGGGAGCAAAAAAGGGGGCGGACCCGCAGGTGGAGCCGGACTGCCAGTATAGAGGAAAGAGAACTGTGCACATACACCGACTCTGGCCAGGCCCATCCTGAGCCCATGATCGGTGCATACGCCCTCTTACATTGGCCAGGAAGGTATATGCACCGATCCTGGGTCAAGGATGGAAGTTGACAGTAGAACGAAGCCAAACCACTCACTCACTTGGAACGTCGGTCAGCCTGCAAAACTGAGGGGAGTGCGGGCCAAAGCCTGGTAAAAATCGACCACCATGGAAGCGACCACGAGAACCCTGGTACCAGGGCAGTGTGCGGTTTGTGCATTTCGAAGGCACTCCTGTGACTGCAGCCGACGTCTCGCACGAGCGCCAGTATGGTGCCTGACCGACGTCCTTATCTGCCAATGCCGACAAGGCTGATCGTACTGTCACCACGCCAATGTGCAGGGGGGGAGCGGAAGCCGCCGTCACGCTAACGACGACGGGGGAGCCACTGCATGT